TAATTGGCTTCCCTGTAGCATAGACGTGCTATTTTGAAATAAGCTATTTCAGAGTATCTCTTCCGGAATAGCTTATTTTGAAATAAGTGTGCTGTGTATATGTACCCTAAGAAAAGAAAATAGATTTAAGTTGGATATTATGGACAATTTCTACCCTCAGTTTATTTGGTCTCCAAAAAGGGGGGAAAATCTTTCCAGAGAATATTAAATTGACATTTAAACGTAGTGGTTAGTTGATATAACAATGCTCTTAAAACTAATACCACCTCAAAATTGACTAGTGTAATTCGAGTTGCCTCAGTTAATTTTTTTTATTGCAACATATATGTTTGGAAAGGTGACAGGACCCTCTTTTTTTTTTTTATTAATCAATTCCCACAGTGTTCCTATTGATAATGGGGAAAATCCTATTGACTTCATTAGTAATTTTTGCAGATTTTGACCATTTTAAAGAATTATGACCTTGCTACTATTGCATCTTATACAATAAGATGTGTTTGTGTTTAAATACTGTAGGCTTTACAACCTAGTTGAATTCTATAGGACTCTTCATTAAGAATAAAAAGAGGAACTAATTCTTAGTCATAGAATGAGTTTCTTACACTTAGGTTGATCGTTATGCATGTTGTAATATATATTTACCCAATTGAAGGCCACAAAAATGGGCACCAAATCAAAAACCCACTTTTAAAAAAAGTCTCTATTTAAACATAGCTTTATGAAACAGTTTTCTGGGAAAATGCAATTAATTTAAATTATATATCATTAGAAGTGTACCACATAATAGATATGAATCATCAGTTTATTTTATGACCATTTCAAGTTCAGTCTGAAATGCAACTTTCAATAATTACTTTGACAACATTAAACACTAGCTGCAACTGTAAATAAGCGACAGTATTCAATCTTTTAAAAAAATATGGTAGGAAGATGCAGCAGTGAATCTAGAAGTATAACTTGTGGGCTGTATAGTCATAAAACTTTTATGAAATGCCTGGTATGTAATTTTTTAGTATGCTAATGCTAATTGACTTGTAAAGGAAACACATTACAGCAAAAAGCAAAATTGCCCCCAAACCTAGTTTTTCAAACACTTCAGTAATTTCTCTGATTCTGACATTACCACTGTAAGGTTGCATCTGATGAGTACATTCAGATGAAGACAGACAGACAGGGATGGATTTAAGTGGCGGATTGTGGCTTTAATTTTAACACTGGGTTGAAGTGCTGTAGGCTCATCCCCACTGTAGTCTCTCATGTTCTAGGCATTTAACCGAGTCAAGTGCAGCATTATGAAGTTCCAGTTGTATAACCAGTAATTCATAATGGACTTCCTCATCATGCTTCTAGGACTCGGCTTGCTTCTGAATCCCTTTGACCTCCTCTACTGCACAGGGCCAAAAGAGCAACTTGGTTTCTGAAGACTTCAGATCTCCCTTTCATGCAAAGGCACAAGATTTAACAGTGCAATCCTCGGTTTCTGATACCTCTGGCAGCTGGCCTGTTAGTCTTTATCCGCAAAGGTCACAGGGGATACCACCTATGATCTTGGTCACACCCTTTATACCTACTACCCATTTCCTGCCTTATCCAGTCTAACATATTGAAGCCAAATGTCAGCCCTTACAACTGACAAGTATATTCCATCTGTAAAAACCGCAAGCTGCTTGTTCCCAATGGAGGGAATCTCTAAGCCACTGGTAACCAGAATGATTCTTTGGGACCCTATCCACACAGGTTAGTTTGACTGTTCCAGACCAAACTCGCCTCACTAATATTTCTGATTAAACCAATCTTGTGTTCAGCCAAGATGTTTAACTCATCCCACTGAATCTTAACTCTCAAATTTACTTCCCTAAAAACATCCATACATGTCCGGACATTTACGTGGTCGTAATTGGCCCATCATCGAGTGGCCCATCATCGAGTGGGAGAGAGGGTATGAGCTAATGGCAGACATTCCTCATGCTGAACCAACCAAGGAAGTCAACACAATT